ATTTCAGAACCCCCTTCCCCTCCCCCATTTCTGAAGAAGGGTCTAGGTCCAAAACGTCAGCCTTCCTGCTCCTATGATTCTGCTTGGCCTGCTGTGTTCATCCAGCCCTACACCTTGTTATCTCAGTTTGTGTACATGTTCCTTTCTGAGCAAAGAATGGGACTTTGTACTGACAACCAATTTAGGATTGTCAGTCAGGCTTGCAGTGTGGCACACTTTTATGTACTTGAAGCTACACATTAATACAAAGGATCATGTTCTTTGCAGATAGAACATGTACATACTTTGTACTTTTTTGAGCAATACTCAATTTTGAAACTAGTAGATCAGCTGATTTACTCACTGAGAAAACGTTGTGCAAGATGACTAATTATTCACTTCTGTGTAATACTAATCTGGAATAGTTGAGATGTCTAGACCTGGTGCTCAGAATTAAGAACAGAAGTAAGCTTTCTTCCAATTCTATTTCTTGAAACATAGATGTCACTGTTGAAGCTGCAGTTTTTTACCCATCTCTTGTCCTGAGAAGATGGTAATGGACTGACCCTTTTAAAAAGTTGTTAATGGATTTTCATCTCACTTCAGTAGATAAGTGTTGAAATTGCTTGATACTTCTGTATTTGGGTCTGTCCAAGATTGTGTATGCTTTTATTCCTCCGTATATTGGGAGATGATACATGTTCTTTTGCTTGAGCAGTCCCTTGCGATCGCAGATGACTTAGTTCCACTCCAGTGTTATAGGCCCTCAGGTGACTAAACAGTCCATTACTGAATTCACAAGCCCTGCTGCAGGTGGTGATTCCTGAAGCAGCTGAATGGGGTGCTCGGGTTTTCACCTGCTCCTTCTATTGTTTGATTTGCAGGTGAGCCAATCGGAGACACTAAAAATGGTTGATTCGTTTACAGATGCGCATTCTCCAAATTGGAAAGTTTCTTTTTGGGCTAGATTCCCGCGAGTTGATGAGGATATTGCATTTTTCAGTGAGGCTTTGAGGATGTCCTTGAAATGTTTTCTTTGCCTTCCAGGTACTGCTTGCCATTGGCAGATCTTGGAGTATAGAGCTTATTTTTGGAAATCTTTTGTCAGACATGTGAACATTGTGGCCCATCCAATGCACATGTTTGACCTCAACCAGTGTCTCAATTACTCTGATTTTGGAGCGCCTATGCTGCCAGTGGATTTGCAGGATTTTGTGGCAACTGTACGTTTTCCATGTGACACATACAGGAGGGTTGATAATGCTGCTGCCCTGTGGTCCATGAGCTTAGTGTTGAGTTTTAAGGTCTTTCTCATCAAATGTTTTCTTTTCTTCAAATGGCTAAAGGCAATGCTGTTACATTGAGGCGATGTAAGTTTTTGTTGCTTTTGCCTGCCCTGACTGAGAGGAGGCTCCCAAGATACGGGAATTGATCAATAGCGTCCATCAGTTTGTCATGGATCATGATAGTTAGGGTTGGGGGTAGGGGCATTTGATGCAGCAGGAGCAGGCTTGTAGATGACACTTATGAACCTAAAGTCCATCCCCTGAATGCACAGTTTGGAGCTTGGCCTCTAAGTGTGCGCACACACCAATGTTAGCTGCACATAGCAGCTCAACTGTGGAGGTTGGGCCGGTCTTGGTTCTGAGAAGGAGGTTATGCAGTTTGAGCAGTTTCTCACCCGACCCGCAGAGAAGCTCCACTCCAGAGGGAGGTTCCATCAACATGGGGTGAAGGGCTGCCGAAGAGATGTTATTGCTTGCTTGATCCTAGTTTGCGCACATATTGGGACGTTAGTGGATCCGTTGGTTAGGATCAAGGTTTGCATGCTCTCATGCAACAGGTGGGAGATCACTTTAAATGGACAATCAAATTTGAGGAAGATGCTCCATAATCCTTCCTGATTGATGTGGTCAACGGCCATGATAGAGGTTGCTGCTGCTCTCTCTACACATTTTCCTTGGATTTGCCTTGCTATGTGGATCATGTCCACTGTGCCTCTTTTTATAGACTATTCTCCTCAGTAGGCTCCTCCCAGTGGCTGGAAGGCTCCTCCTTGAGTCACAATGTGGATTCTATCCGTTGAGATACAATTTTGTAGCTTGTTCAGGCATCTGAGAGGGCAGTTAAGAGCCAACATTGTTAGAATGGGACTGGAGCTGCGTACAAGTGAGACCATGTAAGAGCAAGTTGCCTTACCTAGAAGGCATTAACAAACCATATCAGTTCATGTAGTAGTCCCTGGTCGCTTCTGATGGTCCTCCTTTTGGTATGCTACCGAATGTCAACTCCTTACTCCAGGTAAGCTCTGCCTATAGCTCTGCACGATTGAAGTTTCATTTTCTCTTCGTTATTACAACTTCCTTGAGATAAAGGTCAACATTCTCATAACCTTTGTAAGTGCTTAAAGAGCTTATTCAGTACCTTTTTTAGATGATTTGTATGCCTGAACATTCCAAATTTTTACTCCTCTTCAGTTCCTAGTTATTTTTTAAACAATTAAGAAAATAGACGGATTTCTTCACTTTTTTGTCATGACTGACCTTTTCAAATTGCTCTTCCTGGTTCTTTTAGTACTCCACAGTAAAAACTGTCAGCTAATGGTATGTCTGTCTTTAAGTCTTGTTATTTTCTGTGTTCACTTCTTTTCATTGCTGAAATTTTAAGAATCTAAATGAAAAGAGTGTGCTGGTTCAAATGATGTACCAGACTTGGTACATAGTAAATCAGGTAGTTGCATAATTCTACCTCTTGTGCAAATAAGTGCACTGCAATTTCATGTTTTGACCATTACAATTGGTGTATCCTTCTTGCAATGCTTACTTGGAATCAGTGAAATACACTTTAGTATTCTGCTGAGAAGTGGTTTATTATTTAAAAGATAAAACATAATTCCTGATTCTTTCATGGGTAAGTGCACAATATGAAATGAGTTGTATAAACCAAAAGGCTCCATTTTTGATGTTGAGGAGTGGCTTGACCTCACTTTGGCCAACCATTTTGAGGTCTATTTCAGTGCTCTGGACTGGAGAGGGTAAAAAATGTCAGCCACAGTATTAGCTCCTCATAATCAGTCTCCTCTGACATCTGGAAAAAAATAACATGTTGAACAGGAGATGTAGTTTTTCCAATAAAAGCAAAATATTGCAGCGATTGCACATCTGAAATGCAGTTCTAAAGAAAAGTCCTACTGTTTCTGTCTCCGTGAATGCTGCTATAACTGAATTTCTCCAGCATTCTTTTTGTCGATAGCTTTCCTACCTGCCACGAGAGCCTGAAACTGGTGTTGTGGATCCACCTCTCCATTCAAAATTAATAGGAAAGGAACTTTGTCCATTATGGAAAGTGCAAACTTTAACTAAAACTAACTAATCTGTAACTCAATCTTTATTTCTAAGCAAAGAGTTGAAAACCAACTCCAAAGCAGAAATGGAAATGGTCTTAATTGTAATTTTCTGCATTTGAATAGTTTTCTGGCACATCATGTTTTGCACATGCAGAGTAGCCACTTTATTGAAAAACTGGAGAGCTGCCAGCAATAATGGAACCAAATCCCAGAAAATCAATATTTTTAGTTGGATGGAGAAGAGTAAAATTGTGCTTGGACTTTGGCCAATTTCAAAAGTTAATTTATTTTGTCTTTTGCACTGTTATTCATACAATACATTCCACATGGGGAAAATGTTTAAATATGGGAAGGCGAAATAAATTTGAGGCTTTATAAAACAAGCTTTTCAGTGTTCAGATTGCAACTTATGTGAAAATGGAACTTTTTTTTTAATACTCCCAACTGTGCAATCAACTAAGTGAGGTTACATTTGCTATTCTGCAAGAATAAATAACATTGCATCCTCTTAGGTAACCATCCTGGAGGACACTTGGACAGTGTTTCGACGATACAGCCGTTTCAGAGAACTGCACAAAACAATGAAGTCAAAATACCCAGAGGTAAACTATTTTTATAAAATTTGGTAATAAGTCTAGTGCTGTGACTTGACAATGAGACATATGCTTCGCCCTTCTGTAATTGCAGTTAAACAGTAGTGAAGCCAAGGCTTCACTTGCTTTTGCAATTTTGATCAGTTTATGTGCCAGATTTCAGTCTTTTGGCTGAATACTAAGTCCACTTTTTCAGTTATTTTGTGAAGCCCTTCCGTTGCTGGAAAATGTGATGTTTGCAGATAGACTAGGGTTGGATGGGAAATTGATAGAACCTGGATAATGTGTGTATGCATTCTGTGTTTGCAGTAGAAGTTAGTTTTGCTACTGTTACTGTAAAACTACAAACTTTGCAAATCTGAAACAGAAAATATGGGAAACTGTCATCATGTCAGTCGGCATCTCCCATCATGGAAAAATGTGGGACAGATAAATCGCCTGTTTCTGAAGTTGAGCTGGGCTGTCACTTGAAGGGAATGTTTGGAGTATTGTTATCAAACTGCTGGATTCTGCACTATTTTCCCACATGTTTCCTTTCAAGTGTACTTCACTAACACCCCCCCCCCACCCCAGCCACTTCAGCTGTTCCCAGGTTCTCAGTAATCTTAAATATCATTAATATTGTGGTGTAAGGTATATGATATTTATATATCCTAAATTTATTTTGGAGTTTGCATTTTGAACTAATTGCATGTGGTTTTGATTTTTGTGTATGGGCAGGTTTCATTGTCAGAATTTCTGGAGAGTGGCTTTTTTGTTTAAAAACCAGTGTGGGAGACACATTTCCTGGAGTAGTGATAGGAATTTGCTTGTATTGCGAGAGTTTTGAGTGAACAGTGTAAGTATTAGCTTGCTTTCAGTTAGAAGGATCAGGGGTTTTTCTTTGTTTGGGAAGAAAGTCACACAGCTTGTGGAAAGGTTTTGGTTTCACCTGGCAGGTGTTAGTTAAGAAGATTGAGAAAATATGTTGCCTCAGTGTAAAGATTTTGTTTTTGAAAGTTCCAGACCAAAAATGATTTGTTAGAATACTGAAGGTTTTATTGGAAGCTGAGAAAGTCTAAGCTCAGTTGTGTGAACACTCCAGCAAGAGACTATTAAATTCTCAAGATCAGGAAATGAAAGCAACGTATGAAATAAGCCTAGAGATGTGATAGTGAAGAGAATGTTGTCTGGTATTGGAGTACTGTAATGGGAATCTGTTGGGATAGATGAACTAATGTGTCTCCAGCATCCTTCAAATTGTTATGTAAATAACTTGGTTTATTCTATTTGATCACTTCTTCTACACAGTAAATTTGTTTTATTGTTAAAACCAAATTTGGTTTGTGTGCTTGAGTTTCTATGAAAGAGCACCTCATTAGATCATTTTTCTATTTATCAATTCCAGATTTCAGACTGGGATTTGACTTGTCCAATAAGAACATCAGCTGGAATCATAACATCTATTGTTATGCCTCTTACTATATTGCATATCATTTTAGCCCTTTGACTATCAATCTTCTGTTTTCAACAATCTATCTACCTCTGCCTTAAAAATCTTCCAGGACAATGCTTCCACTGCCTTTTTGAGGAAGACAGTTCCGAGACCTGTACTTTTCTTCATATTTGGAAAAGCATGGGTTTTCAACAAACTGCTGGCATCATTTCTTACTCCTCATGGCTACTCATGTTTTAAAAGTTGCAATATTCAGTTTTATATGAATTAAACTGGACCTGCTTTTGCAGAAGTGTTGAAAATGGTTCTAATGTGTCTATTCTTTTGGATTTCTGTCATTGATTTTGCTTTGTATCAGAGAAGAATGTCTTCTAGGTCAAGTTAACAACTTTGGCTCCAGTATCGAATCGTAAATCTCACGATGCTCCAGAATTATTTGACTTAGTTATTATAATAGGTTAGAATGTAGTACTTTAAGGATTTGTTGTTACTGCTCAATTTAGTGTCATTTGCTGTCGCTTCGCATTAGCTTTTTCATTCAAAATGCAGCAAGGTAGACCTTGCTGCATTCATTCTGTGCTTGAAATGTACTATTACCATTGTCGTAAAATAGTAAATGCACACCACATGTACTCCAGTAAAGGTCGGTATCATGTAAGACTTAGCCCCTGACTTTTGGCAAAAATGTTTTTTTGTTTTTATTTATAGGTTGCCCTGACTAATAGCCTCAAAATCTAGTCTATGTGCTTACCACCTGTTTATAGCTGAAGTCAAACTCATCTTAGTGGAATCGTAGGATGACACACTATTGAAAGTGATTGTTCAACTCTTCATGTCTTTGCACATCAACGTATGATAGTGTATGCTGCATTCCTGTCAATCCCCCTCAAAGGTGGCAACATGGTATTAAGAAGGAACTGTAGATACAGTTCAAACTTGATCATTCAGATTGCAAAGCAAGCAAATAATTGTGTAACAGCAAGAGAATTTACGACATCAAAAAAAATGAACAAGGAGTCCTGGTTTTGAGCTATGTGGTTGACCATTTCAGTCTGAGATGAGAACGAATTTCTTCACTGCCACAAGCTTCTGAGGTGGAGAATTCCACAGATACGCCACTGAGTGAAGTCTCTGAAGAGGCCCTTCCGCCCATCGAGTTTGAGCTGACCTATCTACATTAATTCCACTGTACAGCATTTGGTCATAGCTTTGAATGTTATGTACTCATCCATATACCTTTTTTTTTAAAGAGGTTGTGAGGTTTCCCTCCTCTTCCTTCCTTCCAGTCAGCACATTTCAGATTCCCACCACTCCCTAAGTAAGGAAAAAAACTTTTCCTCGATCCCCTCTAAACATCCTGCCCTTCACCTTTAATTTATGCTCCCTTGTTATTGACCCTTCAACTAAAGGGAACAGCTGTGTTCTATCTGTCTGTGCCGGTCAGAGTCTTAATCGCATAAATGTGGTCCCCATAGCCTTCTCTGCTCTAAAGGAAAAATTACTGACCTTATTCAGCATGTATTAGAGAAAGAAAAAGATTTCTTGAAGATAAAGGTGTTAAGGGTATGGTGAGAGTGTGGGGGTATGGCTGTGTGATGGAGGATCAGCCATAATCCTGTTGAATGACAGAGTGAGCTTAGTGGGCCGAATGGCTTGCTCCTGTTTTCATTTTCTGTATTTTTATGTTAGTTATGATTTGCTGGAGTAAAAATGTAAACCAATGATATTGCAATGATTCCTGGGGACCTAACAAGCCTTGTTTCAACCATTGGATATCTTTCCAAACAAACCCTTCAAGGATAGCATGAGGAAAATGCAGAAAATCTGGATGGTGAGAGGAGAGGTGGTGGCGGAATATGGGCTTCTGTGTGTCTGTGATAGAGGTCCAAGTTTGTTGCTAAATCATTCCAGAAATCTGGGATCTCCAATGCATATGATGGAACAGACAATGATCCACTGCATTTGTGGAATGATGTAGCTGATGAAGGTAATCTTGATGCAATTCAAGAAGCAACTTGTGACACTTGAATCAATTCTGCAAATGAAGATTGAGGTGGGCGTTGCAATTGTTTTGGCCAATTTCAATGTGTTAGCTGTGAAAGCAGCTTTAAATTTGGAGGATAATGGGGGGAGGGGGAGGGGATCACGCTGATGGTAGCTAGTGACTAGGAGGATTGCCTTATGAACAAAGACAAAGGCTAGGACTCTACTCACTGGAGTTTAGAAGAATGAGAGGTGATCTCATTGAAACCTGTAGGATTTGAAGGGTTTTGACAGGGTAAATGCTGAGAGCATGTTGCCCCCTCATGGGAGAATCTAGGAGCAGGGGCACTGTCCCCTCAGAATTAAAAGGTGCCAATTTAAGACTGAGAGAAGGAGGAGTTTCTTTGCAACTTCTTTCCACAGAATTGTGGGAGCTAGGTCCTTTTGTAATTTTTAGGCTGAAGTAGGTTCTTGGTCAGGTAGAGGCATCCAGGGTTATGCGGAGAAGGCAAGAAAGTGGAATGTTGGATCAGCCGTGATCCTGATGAATGGCAGAGCAGGCTCAAGGGGCTGAGTGGGCAACTCCTATTCCTGTTCCTTATGGCCTTATGGGAAGAGTGACGGTGAACCCAAGGGACTGCTCCAAAAGGAACCAGTGAGGTGTCTCAGTTCTGTACTGTTCTTGTCTCTTTGTCCCTCCCCCCACAAGCCCCTGTGAAACTATGTTAATGTAAATTCATAAAGACTATTATGGACAATTAAGAGCAAATCTGTAAACCCAAATACCACCCCCATTTCTCAACACTGCATTAAGCCCAACTTACTTAAAACTGGGTATCTTGAAGTGAGGTTTGCTTTTCAAACCTTGTATGCAGCCAGAAAACCTCATTGTAAGTTGATGAACCTGCATGTGTATGAGTTTTATGCAAATACCAAGTTCAACTTAATGAATTAATTCTTTATCATGTTGACTATGAAGTTCATGGCCGGATGGGGTAACTTGCAGTGACTGAGCAAGGTCACCCCCAAGGAAATTCATTTCTATTTCTTAACTTTTCTGAATTTGCAATAGTAACTGTTTTCATTCAGATTGTTTGGATATTAATTCAATTAGCTTGCTTTCATGTAACAAGATAAGTTAATAAAGTGTACTTATATAATGCAATAAGGAAAGTGGAGAGAGGAACAAAGGCATATTCAGATTAATACCGTGTTTACCCGATTTTTAAAATATATTCACATGTGGAATGTGGGCATCGCTGGCTGGCCAGTATTTATTGCCTGTCTCTAATTGCCCTTGAGAAGGTGGTGGTGAGCAGCTTTTTTGATCCTTCTTAGTATCAAATTAAATGAATTCCTGTTCAGAAAATTTCAGTATTAACCATTACTAGCTTTATTATTTTTTTTCTGAAGTATCAGGCTATGCTGTATTTCTCTATCCAGCGCCTTAAAAGGCTGATTTCTGCTGTCAACAATGTTACTGTTTTGACTGTCACTAAATGCAGCTGATCACCTTAGCACCTTGTCCCTATGGTAACCTTTACCACTCCAAATGCAACTTGGCTGTAAAGTATTTTACCAAAGTTCATGA